TACGCATTTGCGTGTTTGGTTGTTGTATCGGTGACGAGCCATCCCTCGGCCTCTCTCTCTGTTACGCATTTGCGTGTTTGGTTGTTGTATGTGTGTGCACCATGTACTTGCTGGGCCTGAAAAGGCCAGAGGAGGTCATCAGATGGTTGTTAGCTGCCATGTGAGTGCTGGGAACCTAAACCGGGTCCTCTGCAAAAGCTCTTAACTGCTGAGCTGTCCTTCCAGCCCTACTTACGGTTTTTAAATTAATTATATATTTTTACTAAATGCATTAGGGTCTTTTAAAGACTATCTATAAAGAGACTTTAAAGACCACATACAGTTGTTGATGCTGTCATTCCTTGCCTCCACCCACTTGTCCTTAAATTTCCTTAACTGTTTTCAGTTTTGTAACCAGTCTTCATTCATATGGTCCTGCCTCCCATCGGCATACGTGATGTTCTTTCCTCTGTCTCGGAAGGGTGTCATCAGTGAATTTTTTCTACTGTCCATTTCTTCCACAAACCGCGAAAATTCCTCAAAGCTCTCCTGTTGATGCCTCAGACGTCTGTCAAGGCCCCTCGTCCTCCTGAAAATGTTTTGTTCTGGTGGTCCATGCAGTGTTCTCTGTGCTCAGGCCTGCTCTCCCCTGTGTTGGCTTACTTGCTTCAGGGCTACCATGTTTCCTGGCCCCCTCCTACCTTGTTCCCTCTTCCCTCCTCCCCTCCCCCCCCTTTTTTTTTTTATCTTGTTCTCGAGCTCATCTTCCAGATCCTGTGGAGTTCACTGGCTTAATCTTTGGACTCTTTTCTTCCTATAGCATTTCTGTGTGACCTTGTGTAGTTTATAATTTTAGTGCCATGGATATATATTGGTGGTGGCCAGCTCAGAGGCCTTTCAGTTGGAGGTCAGATGATGCTTCTTCTATAATTTTTCCAAGGGTTCCTTTTTGTTTGTTTGTTTTTTCTTGAGACAGGATGCCTCTATGTCGCCTTGGCTGTCTCATACTCACTTTGTAGACTAGGCTGGCTTTGAACTCACAGAAATCTGCCTGCCTCTGCCTCCCAAGTGCTGGGATTAGAGGTGTGTGCCACCACTGCCCAGCTCTACTAGGTTTTTTGTTTGTTTGTTTGTTTGTTTTGAGGGGAAAGTATATTTTGTTGATGGGATCCAGCATTTAATATATGCATATGAATTCAATCTTACATAAACAGTGATCTGTAAGTGTCATAAAATTTTATTTGTTTAAGTTTTACTTTTTCCTAACTCTGGTTAATTTGGAAACTTATTCATAATCATAATGTATTTTCTTTATGATATCCTTGGGTTTTCAGAATGCATCCAACTTTTATTTTTGGCTTATAGACTCCTATTCCTTTTGGTTTAATTTCTTCATATCTCAGTAGAAAAAACCCGTCTGTTTGTATTTTTCTTACTAGTATGTTGTGGGGCAAGATCCTCTCACTCAACCCATGTTACTCTTGTGTGGAGCGAACATGGATGGGCTGGGAGGTGGCTCAGCACTGAAGAACACGCACCCTCCAGAGGTAGTGTACAGCTGTCTGTCATTTTGCTTCAGAGGATCTGGCATCTTCCGGTCTCTGCAGGCACTGTGCTGCTTCTGTGTCTATATATCCCCACCCCAGCGTCAACATAGAATTAAAAAAATCTTAGAAAAAACCTAGTAGAGTGGGTATGAGGGCAAATGTAAATTGGAATCTCTGTAATTCCGAAACCCTCAAGGCATTAATGAGAAGTTTAAATGTGATGGGCGGCGCTCCTGTTTATCGCCTCGATTTCTGGCCCAGAAGACGACTAGATTTTGAATCCACAGGAGTGGGGCCCTGTCTGCCTTAGTGTTACTTGGTTCTGCAGCACCAGATGTAGTGCTTGGTGCTTGGTGGACACTTGCCAGGTTTGTACTGGAGCAACTGAAACCGACTTGCTCCCTCGAAGAGACAGAACTGGGATTGGATTCATTCAAGCACCTGTCAGTCAGCAGTCTTTCTTCTGCACTGAACTGCTGCAGCATGAGCCCAGGCTTTCATTCTGCTTAGAGAAAAAATATATTTAGCTCATTTTGGAGTGTGGGCATTGTGAATAGGCTTCTGTGTAGTTCCTGTTGGGATCTTTTGAATAGCAATTTCATAGTTGATTGCATGCTCTTAATCTAAGTTTTGCCTTCTTTCCAAGTATCTGCTTTTGCTATTTTCTACTCTTTGTGTTAGAAGAAGTGGCATTGTAGATGAGACCTCATGAGCCTGGGCAGACGTTTGATCTTCTTGCATAGGAGTCGAGAGCTTCTCTGCAGTTATGATATTTACTTCACATCAGGTTTGGTT